ATGTCAGTAAACATATTGAATCACTAGACCACATACTTCATTTGTGCCCTGAATTTGTTTCCGTAAGACAAAATGCCTGTGTTGCCAGTTTTATAAAGTAACACTTTGGAAGTGCTTTTGGATGAAATACCTGAAATGTGCACGTGATCTGTTGCCTTTGACGATTCATCAGCATTATTATTATTTACAAATAAATGAATATCTGACTTTTTAAGTGCAGTGTCAAAAATGTATGTATATTGCAGGGCTAGAGATTGAATATGTTGATAATTTTCTTTTTTTCTTCCTCTCCAATAAACACACCACATATGGGAATAATGAATCCTTATAATTATATAATAATTCTAATGAATGGTTAAAATGACATAATTTTAATTGTGTTTAATATTACAAATTGTATTTTATAATATCTCTATAAATTTCCACTTGAAAATAGAAGTATCTTAGAAAAAAATGTACAAAATATGAGACTCCTCTTAATGTCTTTCTTTATATTTGCTAAAATATATATTTTCCAAGTGCTATTCAGTGTTTGTACTTTGATATAGTTTTCAAAAAATATTAAATTTAACCTAAAAAATAAAAAATCAGCAGGACAAGATTTAAAGAAGAACTCTGGGCAGAAATTAACTTACCCTTGCAGTGGGGCTACCTCCATGCTGCAAGAGTTAAGTGCTTGTTTTTATCTAGGGTGTAAAATAAAAAAGTTATACTCAGCCGAATGGTGGAGCCAGCTGGCTGCTAGACCACTTCTACTGCAAGAGTTATGATTATTTCTGGCCAGAGTTTTTTTTTTTATGTGAATGTGAGATATTGTGCTGTATAGAAACATGGAACAATCACAATACAGGCTGCTAAATTCCCTGCTAGTTCTAAGGCCGGGTTCACACTGGGCATTTTACAGCGCTGTAAAAGGCTCAAACAGTGAAAACCCATACTTCCCTATGGGCATGGTTCCCAGCTGGGCGTATTTCAGCCCGTGGAAACGCGCTGAAAAACGCCCTACGCCCAAACAAGTACAGGAGCTTCTTTGGGGCGTTTTTCCACGCGTTTCCATTGGTATTACTGAGTGTGGCTCGGGGTCAACAAAGCAGTAAGCCCGAGCCACATTTGGCAATACAGCGTAGGACTTACCTTGTCCGCGATCCACGCTGTGTCCTCCGGCGGCTGCCGACTTCCGTCCCTTGCGAGCGGCCGCGTCGCAGGGGGGCGGAACCGACGGGAAGATTGAAAGTTTTTAAAAAATAAAGGAAAATTTTTAAAAAATCATACCGCCAGTGAAACGCGCGTTTCACTGAACGGGAAAACGTGCTAAAAAAACACTGACCCTGCTCATTAAATTGGACAGGCAGTAAAAGTCATTTTCTTTGACCTTTTTGTGCTGGGATTACTTCAATGCTAACCTTATTTAACCTAACCTTTTTGGTCTATTTAGGGGAGTCTTAAAGGGAAAGTATACTGTTACATACCTTTTTCCTGCAGTCTTCTGGCTGGCCTGCTGATGTCATTGGTCTTTCCTCTTTTATTCTTGGTGGGTTCAAATAACGTATGAGCATTAAGCCCAGGCCAGCATGATAAAGCATCCCCTGGGGTGCTTGTCTATGACAGCCTAGGTTCACAGGAGCTGTGTTGGATGATATTTTCCGTCTTTCATTCCAGATGAGGAATTGTACTTGATAAAAGAGCATCTAGTCTGTGGGAGGCAGTTTTTTATTTTTCCACCTGGTGGGCCCCTG